CAAACAATAACAGTTCTAATTAAAGGCAACTTGAAAAACAACAGTTTTCTCCATGAAACTGGTTAAATTAAAAAGTTTTTAAAAAAAATAGTAAAAAGGGTAATTTCTCAACAGCGTCCACTCCATATCAAGTAACACGTCTCTAAAACCATTCGTTATAAAAATGGAGGTGGAACACTGCCACCAGCTGGAAGTTATAAGCTTTGGTCATAGGAGTTCGAGGAGGAGACGGGAGAGGGTCAGGGGAATAGTAGCTTCTGTACCTCCTCGTCACAAAGTATCTGGGTCTGGAATTTAAGCAGGGCAGGGGATCCCAGAGCGGCGGATCCCAGAGCGGCGGGTTGGGTGACATAGTGCCATAGATATTTCGGGCTCAACACAATAATTGGCCAGACTGGTTCTCTTATTTAGGTTCATTGAGATGAGAACAAACAGAAACGTTTGAGCGTGGGGAGTTCAGACTACCTTGGACCAGAACGGCTCATGCATGGGAGTATGTGTCAGTGAGTATGGGTCCCAGGTCTACCGCAGTCCTTTCCATCTGGCCAAGCTGAAGCAGTTCTACACTTCTTTTTATTTTCTCTCTTTCTAAGCAGAAAACAACAATCCCAAACACTGAACCCCCCTTTTCACCAACACAGTGCCAAACCTCTTACTGTGCGACTCGTCCAGGGCTTTGACCCCCAGAACAATGCCACCGTTTTGAGAAAGGAGGACAGGTGGGCTGGGATGGGTGGACATGAGATGGATGAAGGGTGACATGGGTCTCCCTTCCCAACCCGTCCATGACTTCTCATCCACCCCTTGCCGTCGTCTGACCCGTTTCTCTTTCTATTTGTGGCAAGGTGGGACTCTGTTGGGAGGGGAGGGGGGGCACAGATTGGCGTCGCCCCCGCCCCACCCCACTCTTTCAAATGGATCAGTCAGTCAATCGATGGGCGTGGGCTCAGTTTGAGGCGCTGCTGTTGGAGGAACTGGATGTGGAGGCCACGGCCATGCCCGAGGTGCCTGAGGAGGCCACCGACTTGCGGATGTGGGGCATGAGGAAGGGGTCACTGGCCAGCTGGTGCACATCGATGCGGTCCTCCTTACGGTAGACTAGACAGCGCCTTATAAAGGCCTGGAGAAACACAGAGTGAGAGTGGAATGACTGAGCAAATAAAAATGTTTTGGTGAAAAGATAAAAAATTCCTAAATATGTACAAAAACCTCCATCTATGTATGTGAAGATGAGGACTTACAGAATTAAGAAATAAAACATGGAGGGTGTTGTGGGAGTTGAAGATGCATAGATGTGTTGCAAATTCTAGGGGGACAAAACCAAAGCAGAGGCGACAGAGTCCAGTACCTTAGCTTCAGGTGTGACTACTGGTTTAGGGGGAAACTGCACATCTGTTGCCTTGAGTATGGTGTTCTCCTGCAGGATGTCCTGCTGGGACTGGTTGTGGCCGAAGGGCTGAAGAGCAGAGAGAAGGAGATGAAGTGTTGTTAAAACATGACCTAAATATATCACGTGAACAGGAACAAACAAAGTGTGTTGGTGTTCAGTACACCGTCCATAATTAAATCTTACTTCATCTTCTTTTGTCTAAAGATCAATTATTACATACAGTTAAAAAGCAAATTATGTATGCATTTTATTGACTTTATAACGGACTTAATTGCTTAAATCTCTTCATGCAACATATTTTTAGTCTCCTACCTTGCGACCATACAAACACTGGTAGAAGATGACTCCTACAGACCACACATCCACCTTGTTGGAGATTTTTGGTGGTTCCTTCCCAACCACAAAGCACTCTGGGGGCAGGTACCTAAAAGAGAAAGGGTTATATTCATCTGAATCAGTTTCAACGGATGAAATAGTCATGACTCAAAGACTTGTGTACGAAATATTGTGGTCAAAGATGATTTCAGCTCTCTGTGCCCACATATGAAGTAGTAACATCAGAGTAATTCTAACACTACCTTTAAATACCAAGACATACCTCAGTAATATTACAAATATGATTATTTCAATACACAACACATCTTGAGCATACTATTGTTATGTTTAATATCCATGTGTTAATAAGTCTGCAACTTGCATGTTCTTTGCATTCTCTTGTGAAATGACACGAACTCTACTCTTAGCCATGAACTTATCAGCTGTTCCATTGCTGCTGGAATGAAATGCCTCATGGGCAAGCCATGAATATGTTGAGCCTGGGGTGCTGCTTCTGTCAAACTTGAGTCAACCCAGTATGCTGTAACACAGAGCTATTGTATACGACAGTGCTTTATGTGCCAAGTGCAAAACTCAATGCTGCAGCATT